TATATATATATAAAAATAAAGTCTGTGAGTGGCTTAACCATGAATTTGCTCTAACTGATTAAACAGACACATTCTTTGCTAACTTCTGTGCTTCTACTACTGGCCTAAAGGAGTGAATGGTTGAGCCACCTGATAGCAGCCAAGGTTTCAAGGGGTGGGAGCATTCCTGTTAGGGATGCTTGGTCTCCAGAATGGGATGAAAGTTCTGGGGCTCTCTAGAGAAGAGAGCAGCACCTTCTCCTGTGCTTCTGGAAACCTGGCTCAACTACTCACTCAACTCTTCCATCTCTTTTTAACACTGAATCATGTAAGTACCACGTGCTAAACGATTGCGCCACTGGAGCTCCTTAAGAGATTTAGAAGACTCTTATTTTGAGAAAATACTTATTTTCATAATTGACGCAGAGAGTTCTGATTTGTGATGACCTAAAATGAATTTACATCCTCACAAATACACTTGTAGATAATAATACTGGTGGATGTGCCAAGCAAAAATCTGATTTAATTTACATTCAGATTTCGATGCAAGTTTTGCTTCTCTATTTCATTCTCTTCATTTAGAGATAATCTTTATTTTGGTTTTGAAGATGATTCAGGATATGCCTTCCCAAAATACACAACTTTGGGATAAGGGTTATTTTGAGCCAAAAATCCTATACCAGGAAGAAGAGATCAACTCTTATTACTAGAGCTGGGAGTCAGCCTGAGATGAATCTGCATAAACAAATGCTAAAATAATCCTTCTCCTCCATTATTTTCCTAGGTGCTTTCCCTCAATTTATTTGTGTCTCAAAATGCAAACCCTCTTTCCTGTTAAAATGCTATGTAAGGTCCTATCTGCTAATTTACTGCTTCTTTCAGTTTTACTTTTCTGTGAACTCCCCTGCACATAAAATATTAATCAGGTTTGTATTCCTTTTCTCCTGTTAATCTGTCTTTTGTCAGTTAAATTTGCAGGCCCTCAGGGACTGAACCTAAAAGGATAGATTTTCCTTTCTGGCAATTTGTATTTGTGAATTGTGACATGGGTCTGGTGCTGTCTGCAAGGATCAAGCGCAGGTGGGCGAACCACATCATGGCTTGGCTGTTGTTCTCCTTCTCATCCCCTATGCCCTAGCCCCCGAAACATTTTTATTCTGGTGTTATTTAAAATGGAAATCGAAGAGAAGGTATTTCAAAAGAATAGGAAGAAAGGAGTCTTCAAGGAGTTTTATAGTAGGATGGAGACCTGCCTTGGCTTTCTGATGGACAGGGCATTATTAGGCACCAGATGGAGGTGTCACTTCTCCCTTGACCCTCTGGCCCCAGTCACAGCCCAGCTGTCCTGTTCTGGCTGCACCCTGGGTATGGTCCTGTTTACTACAATAGGCAAAGCCACTGTGTGGGTCGGGCAAGTCACTCCTCTTACAGAAGTCAGGGCTCAACAATTATTATACAATTTATCAGTTAGTAAAAGAAAGGGCTTTGCTGTTAAAGGAAGATGGTTAACGTCCTTCTGGTTTCAAGCCGTTCATGATTGAGTTGAAGCCACCTGATGGGCTGGTTTTGTTTTTGTCTGCAGACAAAGCAGAAGAATTAACCATTCACTACCACAAAGGAGGGAAAATATGCCACAGAAAAGTGGCTTTGGTTAGGGAAAGGTAAAACAGGCAGGCTTTGAGGCCACATGGTGAGTTTCTGAATCATCATTCTCCTTTCGTGTTCTCTTTACCAGTTCTGACCTTGCTTTTAACTTGGAAGGCTACATTTTTGTATTTCTGAATGATGTCTTCACAGCAGCAAATGGAGTTTATACCAAACAGAAGATGGACCCAAAGGTACCAGATCTTCCCTCTTGTGGTTTTAGGCTTTGCCCTCTGGCCTCTGCAATTATATGGAAAATGTAAACAAGTTTGTATAGTTAATGTGTAATATGTACCGTGTGTAATAGGGTCTGTGAATTACTAATTTTTTTTTAATTATCTTGTGTATGTAAGTTCTTATTATTCCTACTCCTGCAAAATTTTGGTTAAAAATTAGATAAGCGAAAAGATGCCACCATTTTAGATGCATACTCAGAATATACAAAGAGGGGATTGTTTTGAAAGACAAATTAATTTTCATCAGTGTCTTTAGTGATCATGGCAAAATAAGAGGTCGTGATGTTTGTTCTGAGAGCGCTCATTTTGAAGTCTGGGGACATGGGTTACAGACTCGAGTTTTACTAGTTAGTTAGTGGCCATTGTGACTTTGAACCTTCACTTCTCCAAGCCTTAGTTTCCTCATCTGGGGAATGAGAGGATTGGAATGGATAATGTGTAAGGTTCTATCCAGCAATAACCGCCTTTTCTGGACATAAGGGGCTGGGGCAGATGAGCTTTTCTTCCGTGTGGCTGCCTGTCACTGGCACCCAGTCCCAGCTGTTACAGGAAGCTGGGAGGATGAGCCAGGCATATGTTTCTTTGTTCCAAGTTCTTTGTGTCCAGTGAGTGACTTCACTCTGATGACAGGCTTATTTCCATGAGCTATGTTTTTTTTTTTTTTTTTTTTGTCTGTGCTGATTTTTTTCCTGCATGGTCGTTTATTTTTCAACAGTGGCCGTTTTACCAAAACAGGTTTGTTGCCTTTAGAGAATCACAATATGTCATCCTCTTTTGAAAATGGTGGAGATGGGGTATAGCCACTTTAATGAAAGTAAATATATAGCACGGCTGTGCTTTAATGGAAAGAGCAGATGTTTTTAAAGAGTTCCGTTTATATTAACATTTTTAATGTTCTTTATTTTCTTGAAGATTTCCCATTTTGAATAGCATGCTTTTTTAAAAAAAGAAACCCACATAGTTAGAATGTTAGAGTTGGATAGAGCCTTGGAGGCTTTCCATCTTCATCTGTTTAATCTGTAGTTTTGGTGTAAAACAATGTTTATTCTGAAATCACAGATATGGGAAATGAAGCATTTTGCATCAGAAATTTGCTGAAAATATTCCAGTCGAAAGTTGGTTGGAATGCATATTCTAACTCTGCATAAATATGCAGTTGTATAAATGGCTCCAGAAAATCTGACACTTCATATTTCTAAAATTGAATTTTTTTTTTTCAGGAGCTAGGGAAATATGGAGTACTTTTCTACAATGCCTGCTTCATGATTATTCCAACTTTTATTATCAGTGTCTCTACTGGAGACCTGCAACAGGTGAGCTGATAACAATCATTAGTCTTAAGTAACCATCTTTTAAAAATTTAATATTGAACTTTTGGTACTCACTGAGATTAAAAAGCATAAATGTATCTAGAATAACCAGGAGAGTATATGAAGGCAAGATGTTTTATGTCCTTGATAATACCTCTGGCCCTCCTGTTGTGTTGGCACTGATCTTTAGCCATGTAGAAGGTATCCAGAAGGAATGCCAAGAACCCTGGCCTTGATACTTCTGGAAAGCAACAATAAATGTCTGAGTTTGTGTCCCATTATCCCCCTTTGCTGATGTTCAGACCCTGGAAAAAAATTACCCTAACAGGGGGTTTTGATAGTTTTAAGAAATGAATTCACTGATTTATTTGTCACCTTCTATTCTGGATATTTTGAAACATCACACGAAGTAGAGAGAATAATTCAGTGGATTGCCACATACCTACCGCCCAGCTTCAGTACTTAGGCATCTTGCTATCCTTATTTTTTTCTCTCTCCCTCCCTTCACCCCACAGAATATTTTAAAACAAATTCTAGACATCATACATTTTACCTCTAAATATTCTAGGACTCATATTTGAATTTAGAGAAGGTACTGTTCTTTCAGTATTTGCCCTGGTAACTTTATCTAGAGACAAATAAATGGTAAATTAGTAATAAGATGCAGGGCCTACTGGGAGGGGTAGAGACCAAGAGACCTTAAAATCCATGACAGCCACCTTGGAGGATACAAGCCCTGACTTCTGCAGGAAGTCGCCAACCACACACCTCCTAAGAATTTTGCCTATAGCTTAAGGGAGATGTTTAAGTTTATGTGAGAAAGGTGTGATGAGCAAAATCCTGGTCCAGCAAGGCCTCTCTGCACAGAGCCTCCCCCATACTAGCCAGGTGTTAACCATCTCATTGCTGGACTGGGGCTGTGATGTTTGCAGAGGCCCTGCGTAGCAGCCCACAAGCACGATAGTATTTCTACATTTGGCAGTCGGCATGGATGCGTGGTGCACACAGTTGAAAGTCAATCCCACTCAGAGCTCTTTTAGGGTTTGAATGACTTTGGAAGGCTGCAGGTGGAGGTTCTTTCTCAGGCTATACTTTCTCAGTTGTACAATTCCTTTCCCAGAAGCAGGGAACAGCGGAAGACTTAGCAGCCAAGACCTCAGGGTAAACAGCCGTTTCCACATATTTATAGTGACAACTACCAAAAGCCACCAAGTTTGAAAAATAGCTCTCAATTTTGAGTTAAGCAGAACACTGAGGCACCCTGCATCTCTCTAATAAGGAGTAGAACAGGATATCTGAAAACATAATAGTAATTTTTTAGCTGTTATCTATTCATTTTGAACCGAGTCAATGTCACCAACATTACACAAAACAAAATTATAGATTCTTCTTAATGACGTGGTCCAAAGGGTTGGTCTCATTATTATAGAAATTAAGTTTTTCTTTGATTCACTGGAGTTTATCTGTTCTGAAATTCTGGTGTTTTATAGCTGTTTCCCATATACAGGGTTTGTGTGCAATTTAAAACTGCACATGAACTTTATGACCACCCTATATACTTAATTCCAGAAAGAGAACTCTAGAAACTCCTTCATCCCTGGCTGGGATGAAAAGCATACTTTTTCACAAGAGCCATGTTATGAAGAGCATAATGACCAGAAACTGAATTTTAGGTATCATCTGAGTAAAAATAGACTAGGTGTTTATTATTTATAATTTATTACTATTGTTAATAACTTTTACCATTGTTTCAGTAAAAATGTGTGTTCCCATATCCAAGTCATGGACTGATAAACTTGTTAACCTGGTGTTTTCACAAGTTATTACCTTCCTGTAATGATTATCATGCAGAATTCACATACTTTCTTATATAATGATAATACTCCTGAAAGTTAATATTTATTGAGGGCTCATTATATTGGGCACTTTTAAAAAGCGTTGTTTATGAACTATCTCATTGCATTTCCATAGTGGCCCTCAGAATAGAAGGTTCTATTATAATTCCCAATTTATAGGCAAGACATCTAGGGTATACTGTTGAAATAACTTCCCAAGGATAGTGGATGATAGATCCAGGCAATCTGGCTCAGAAACACATCCTCCACTGTAATCTCAGTTATTTAATTTGTATATGAAAAGTGAATATTTTTTCCCTCACATGTGAAAAACCATAGCCTATCCTTTATATCTTATAAAGTAAAGGGATATAACATATTCTTTAATTTGTTAAATCCTGATATTCTAGGAGAGTATCTCTCTATTGGCATGTGGTGTCTAGCCTCTAATGTTGATGGGACTCTGAAGACTTCAAACATACTGTATTTTGCTTTGTATAATGCACACCTGTGTATAATTGCACCTTTTTTTTTGCCCAAACTTTCAGGAAAATACTCTTTCATTTTAATTTTTTAATTCAAATGTTTATTGTTCTTATGTTTTGTATTATAAAGGAGTTTTAGCATTTATTTTTAACATATCATAGTACAAGACATTTTGTGTAAAAAATAATTATAAAACACAAGAACAAACACAAGGTATAAGACATTTTATGTACCTGTAACAAATAGTACTACCCTATCCATGTATCCTGCACATCTTTATTTTTCCCTTCAAATATTTGGTCCAAAAGTACACATTATACATGGCAAAATATGGGCAAATTCCTTTAAGTACCTTACAGTCCCAGAGTGATTACTAATCACTGAAATTCCAGATGGACAAAAGAGCTAAATATATAGATTTATTTTTTAAAAAAACTGTAAGAAAAATTGTCATTGGAAGAAAGTAGAATATATGAGGTTGGACAATTAAGTCTGTGAACTCATCCGAGAAAAAGTGCCACATATGTCATTGCAGAATGTCACTGCAGTTACCTGTAAAGTGCTCTCCTTAGGAAGCTCTGCACCGATGCCAGCACCTAGTCCACCCTTCAAAGCCATTTTGGAACTCTTTTTCTGGAATGTCCACCAGAGCTGTTGTAGTACAAGGTCTGACAGTTAAGTTTGAGAACTCATCCTAGAAAAAGTGCCTTGAAGGGCAGACGAGGCGCTGGCCTCAGTGCAGAGCTCTCAAAGGGAACACTTTGAAGGTGACTGTGGTGATACTCAGCAATGAGGTATGTGACACTTTTTCTAGCGTAAGTTCATGAACTTAATGGTCAGACCTTATAGATACACGTATAATCAACTATAAGAGAAAGCTTTCTAGAAAATGACAAAGTACGAAAGTCATAAAGTCGAACATTTGACTGTATTTTCATTTATAAGTATTATATGACAAGGCAAGAGATACCAAAAGATATGGGGCATTCAACATAATCAGCAAGAAAAAAGCAGTCAACCCTGCAGGAGCAAAATGGTGAGGTTTCCACTACTGACATTGCTCTGTGTTCATTAAATCCATCAGGGAAGACTTCTTCCCACTGGTCTCTTCTGATAGCGGCTGAGTTTGGAACCAAATACATGAAGAATTAAATGTATATGATTAGGTGTGTGGGCCTGCAATATAAAAATGCATTTTATTTGCCAAGTTTGGTTTGAATGTCCCAAAAGCTGATTGATGAATTAGAGCAGAGCGTTAACTTCTCTTGTTAATGGAAAGAGAAACTTGATGAGTCATTTTTCCTGGTTGATGGGGAGTAGAGAGACAGAAAGGATCAGAGATTGTAATAAAACTTGTGTGTGTGTGACTCATTGCTCCGGGAATTCAATTCTGGGACTTTGGCTTACACAGTCAATAGATCTATTAATAGTACTTTGATTCTATCTCTGATTAACAAAGTGGGAGATGACAGCTGCTCATGTTAACAAACTAGGCCTTTGGAGAATACTCAGTGGGTGAACTTTCTTTAGTATTTGAATCACTCCCATAGCTTCAAAGCATCTGATGTGTAACAGTATTATAGCTGATGAATAGAGACAAGTAGGACTTTTCTGATTTAAAAAACCCAAAGTGGGTCAGGTGTGGTAGCTCACTGCTTATAATCCTAGTACTCTGGGAGGTCAAGGAGGGTGGATTGCTTGAGTTCAGGAGTTAAGAGACCAGCCTGAGCAAAAGGGAGACCCTATCTCTAGTAAAAATAGAAAAACTAGCTTTGTGTTGTGGTGGGTACCTGTAGACCCAGCTACTCAGGGGGCTGAGGCAAGAGGATTATTTGAGACAGGAGTTTGAGGTTGCTATGAGCTATGATGCCACGGCACTCTATCCAGGGCGACAGGGAGACAACGCCTCAAAAGAAAAAAAATAAAACCAACCCAAAGTGCAAAATGAAAATGATTTCTAATTCAATATACTTTTACTACAACAGTAAGTCTAAAGGAAGAAGAACTTTATCATTTTCATCTTTAATTATTTCCTGTTTTATAATAAGTGTCATGTTACATTGTTTTTTTTTAAACCAGTCAAATTTAGCAATGATGGTACATTATTTTTTTTTTTAAATGCAACTACTGTAGCCTCATTATTAAACAAATAAATAAAACTAAAATCCATAAAAATTTAGGTTGGCAAGGAATCTAAATATTTTTACAAAAATTACTAAATAGCCCTCAATGTTTTATGTGGTATCAGGAACACAGTATTTTTTTCCTATACTTGGTTTGAAATTTGGGAGTTACTCTCAATTTCGTTTTAATTTTAGACACTAAATGTCCCATCATTTTTGTTATTCTTTTTTATTTTATTTTGGTCTTTGAACGCCTCAGCATAAACTTTCTGGGTATAAGTCTTTTGGATGTTTTCTGTCCCCTTGATTAGCTTGGAGCTTGCCAGTAAGACAGATTTATATTTATTATATTTTTTCTTTGACAAGTAAACACTTAAAAAGGTTTAGTGGGGCAGCACCCATAATTCAGTGGGGAAGGCACCAGTCCCATACACCAGGGCTGGTGGGTTCAAACCCAGCCCTGGCCTGCTAAAAACAAAATATTGCTGGGCGTTGTGGCAGGCACCTGTAGTCCCAGCTACTTGGGAGGCTGAGGCAGGAGAATCACTTATGCCCAAGA